CTAGATGTCAAAAACTAAGCAATAAAAACTCAGGAATTGGCATGGAGGTTCTAATCAACCTAGGTGTGCAATAAGAAGCGTTTTCATAAAATTCCATTAGAGCTCTGCCCGAGTGGCTTTTAAAGTTCTTATGTTATCATTTTAACTCATGAATACTTTTGAATCTGCACTATTCATTAAGGGAACAGCATGTTATATTTTTATTATATGAAATAATATAAAACATTTTAATATTTAAATAAATGAAATAATCAAAATATGTTTTTGTCACTACTCTATTTATTTTGGTGGGGATTTTAGGATCTGTGTGTTCTCTATAATATAACAACAGTATATTATTTGATTTGTTTAGAATGTCAATGTCAAAGGAACAGTTATTGGCTGATGAGTTGAACCTTTTATTTGAAGGGGTGACACCTGCCTTGTCCTATCACTTAATAACTATAACTTTTTGTTGGCCTATCAGATTCAACATTTAACTTTTTAATTGAAATTTTCGTGAGCGAAGCCACGACGGGTTCGCTAGTTTGGTTATAATTTTACATTTGGTTTTGAAATAGTTTATGTTGAGTTATTTTAAAAATAATTTTGGTGAGAGGTTCAGTCGGTAGCACGGTGGACTATGAGTGAATGGCTGCGACATCGTGGGTTATGGCTACACAATATGTTTTACCATTCACTTTTTGGTTTGGACAATGCCATCCATATGACCTAGCGAAGGTAATTGATTTCATTTTTAAAATAGTTTAATGGCTTATTCACAGAGTGGACTACATACCATAAGACCGTTTTTTAAAGTAGCCGTTTCAGTGCAGTTCTTAGAATTGAAAAGATTCTCATAACAGCATTTTACTTTCATAACAGCGTAGTTTTACTCATAAGAACACGGAATGAGGTTGAAGGATTGAGAGAGATGTAAAATTGTAATGATTCGAACATCAAAACAGCTTTTCAAGCCAATTTAATTGTTGAGTGGTGCAATTAGTGTTTGATACAGTGTTTCGTTGCATCACTGTGAGTGGCAATGAGAGGTTATAGACAAAAACATAACCTCTTTTAGAAGTTATGGTAATCAAAACACTGTCGTAGGTAAAGTAGTGTACGCACCCGTAGTGTTTGTGGTATTAATACTGTAAGTGTAACATAAAAGATATGCAAGTTTACAACAAACAATTGTTCTTTCAGTTAGGCTTGCTCACAAAATTGCCGTATTCGACTAAAATCAGTAATTTACATCAGCGAACTCTGTCGGTGGGTCAATGCAATTAACTAAATGTTCATTCTAAAACTGACTATAAAGGTTTTACAAACAAGCCCAAGCCCCATGTGGACATCCACAATGTAAAGAGGCCGTCAACTTCCGAACATATTCCAACAGCTACATTTGATGACGTCATGTTTCCGTGTGATAGACACAGCAGTATGTTGATTGTTGTATGACGTAACCAGGAGCAGTCAGACAACAGGCGTGTCGTAGGAGTGGCACTGACTCAGATAATACCTCAGCATCTCAACGTTATCTTCTGCTGTAAAAGGAGGCGCGGTAACACTACATAGTTACACTCATAGATGCGTTTTAAACTAAACTGTATTAAGCTTCCACAACGTAAATTACTGCCAATACGCTGTATTTTCTGTTGGCTGGGTTTTTACTCAATGTTTTATTGGTTTCGGCTCAGGAATGGATCAGATTCAAAGTCTAGAAATGTCGTACACTTTTTTACTACTCGTGATGGTAACTGTTCGGTGTATACCGTAAACAGCTGGGGAGCGAGCTGGTTTAGTGGTTGGAGCACGGGACTTAGGTCCAAGAGGTCCCCGGTTCAAATCCCGCCAAATCACCAATGGATTTTATCTAAGTGATAATGCCACAACCCCTAGGCCTAGCCATGTTCAACAATTATACAATACTCCATGAGTACTAAAAGATCCCATGGTGTCAACGAATAGTGGGAGTTTTAAGTGTTTTTCAACAGTTAATATTAAATCGTATTCTCTGACAATAAATTATGTTTTACTTCTATAACCCTATAAGACTTCACTCTACTTCGAATAGATGGAATATCAATTACTATTTATTTAAGGGCACCTTAATATTCATCCCTCTCGAGATTTTGTTTCATAATAACGTAAAGCACATAACTAAATAGGGAATATCAACATGAAACATCTCTAAAATGGACTATACTGTTTGAGATAAGCAGCAAGTTGTTCGGTTCAATATTAACACAAAGGGTGTTTAACTTGAAGAGTTTATACAGTCTTAGAAGGTGTTGTGGATTCAATAACAGTAGTTTGCAATATTAGTTTGTTGGACTATTAATTACAATAACAACGGACGGCAGACTATGAGCTATGGAGCCATACATTATGTTCATGGAACCGCAAAGTACTGTGTGCATAGTTAATAATTCATAAATTCGTTTGTTGTAACCATTAGTTGGGCAACTAAAATGTTTTCGACTTTAATCTTTTGTTTGACATACTGGTTTCACTAATTTCAAAGGACAATGCAAAGGTTGTTAAGTATTCTCTGTAATTTTCGGGGGAATGAAACCTTTTAGTGTGGCAATAATCGACCAGGGTGATAATATAATAATTTCATACACGTTATTAAAATCAGGGTCCATAACGTGGTTATACTTAGAGTAGGCCTAGACTAAAATATAACCACTTTGGAAACCAGAAAAAGATTAAGGCTTCAAAATATCAGTGAGTTTTTAGCAAATTTCCCATATAGGGAATACGCTATTACCGTAGTACTCATGGTAAGACCTGGACCCTGGACCGATTTACTTTTTAGCGAATTTCCCATATAGGGAATAAGCTATTACCGTAGTACTCACGGTAAGACCTGGACCCGGGACCGATTTTTTTTTCGTTTCGAGGTCCCTAGAGGTCAAAAACACCATCCGTTCAAATTCATATATATATATATATATATGTGAGTCCGTTAGCGCGATAACTCGAGCAAAAATGATCCGATTTTGATGAAATTTGGTACAAACGTGTAAACCTACGTTTATTCGAACGAGTTCGCGAACCAGCATGATCGGACCATGGGAACGGGGGTTTATAGGGGCTTTTATGGGGTAAAAATGGGTTTTTCCCATTTTTGACCCAAAAAACATAAAATTTTGCAATTTCTTTCGAAACTATTTTGTAGAGCTTAAAAAAACAAATAATTCAGTATATTGAAGCGTTGTAATGCGCCTAATGGTTACGGGGAAAATTCCAAAAAATTGTAGGCCTAAATTTAAAATTCCCATGTTATTCTTATGGAGAATAAGTAAACTGTTGTAGTTTGCTTGTTTATAAACATATTTTGCCCAAATTTGGAAAATGTTTTTATTTATTACTAACTATTAACATTTTACATAAAAAACACTTTTACCCTCCCTGTTGCAGCAAACCTAAGTATGTTTTAAACTGATTCTATTTAAATAGGGAATAAATGTGATATTTTTAAGGAGGCATTTTAGTGTAAATCCATTCAGGGAAATGGAAATTCGCTTAGTCTGCAGGTTTTCTGCGGCGGGGGTATTTGTTTTTGAGGTCCCTAGAGGCCAAAAACAACATTCGTTCAAATTCATATATGCATATATTTATATATGTCTCCGTTAGCACGATAACCCGAGCAAAAATGGTCTGATTTTGATGAAATTTGGTATAAACTTGTAAACGTACTTTTTTTTGAACGAGTTCACGAACCAGCATGATCGGACTGCGAGAACGGGTATTTATGTGAGGGCTAGGGGTAAAAATTTGGTTTTCCCATTTTTTACCCTAAAAACAAAAGAATTAACAAACTCTTACCAAACCAAATTATAGAGCTTAATAAAAACAAATAATTTAGTAAATTGAAGTGTTCCTATGCGCCTATTGGTTACGGAGAAAATTCCAAATTATAGTAAATTTAAAATTCCCATGTTATTTTTATGGAGTATAAGTAAACTGTTGTAGTTTGCTTGTTTATGAACATATTGTGATCAAATTTGGAAAATGCATTGATTTCATACTAAACTATTAACAATACTGTGTCGTGACTAGACAGCCCTAGGGTAGGGAGCGGCTGCTCTAGTACTGGCCTTGGGCGGAGGTGACAATCACCAATCCGGCCAAGGCCCAGATAGCTAATGTTACCGCCAACTGTTACAGGTATGTGTGCAGCTGTGACAGGACTGAGCTGGAGACGATGAGGGGTCCTACCCCGAAAGGGTCCAGTCTTGGATATTAGCAGGCGTAGTGAGTGGGTCACGGTTCGGCTGCTAAACTGCTAACTTTTTTGCTTTTCTTGTTTTAGTAATGGCTGAAAGTAAACGAACGGAATCATTACCCCAGGTGGGTACCTGCTCAAGCGGGGAATCCCACTCCTCCTTTTTGGAGGACAAGCCCATGGATTCTGGGGAGGGCAACGATCAGCTTTCCTTTAACAATGATAATGTTACTGTGCAGAACACCGCTATGGAGACGGAACCTGGGGAGATCCTGGACTCGCCAGAGGTCTTCTCGAGAAGTTCCTTAACAGCAAGAACTCCACCCAATTCATCTACTGATGTGCTTGAGCTTTGCCACAGGTTAGATGCAGACCTGAATAAGCCACTAAACACCAGCAGTGCTGGCGACTCTCCATCTCTGGCGGATGTTTCGTCCGACTCTGAGATCACTTTTACAGTTATGACCAAAACTGAGTACAATATGTCTGTTAGAGAAAAGAAAAAGGCTGAGGGCACGTGGATCCCTAACAGACAGTGGAGAAGGAGGAAGCGAGAGTCCTTGAGTTCTCCTGGGGAAGGTTCAGGCGTATCACCGATGCGTAGAACCGGATCCGATAGTAACCCTGGGTCGTCTCAAAATCCTCCTTCTAAGAGAAATAAAAACTCTAATCAATCAGCAGATGGACTCGTTGCGGGAAAGGCCAGCTACAGAGATCAGCTTGTGGGTCACAAGTTGGCAGTAGCTCCAGCGGCCTATCGCGATGCGAGATTCTCTGTTGAGGAATGTGATTTGTTGCAGGACAAACTGATGGAGTTGGTGTTTGGTGATGACGGCGCCAACATTCCTCATCAGTTTGAAAAAATTTACCATGAGAAGGGTGCTCTTGTCGTAACTTGTGGTAATTCTGAAACAACTGACTGGCTAAAGAGGGTGGCACCGAAGCTGGCGCTGGGAAGTGAGGGGAGTATGGAGGTCATTGTAGCAGACTATAAGGATCTGTTGCGCACGACCAAAGTGCTCCTACGCACTGACAGGCGCTTGGCCAAGGTCGAAGCCTCTAAAGTGTTTGTTCAGATTGAGCGACAAAATCCTGGTGTCACGACAAAGGACTGGCGCGTCATTGGTGGGAAGAGGAAGGATGATCATCAGATTCTTGTTCTTGCTATTGATGAAATGAATGCGCAGGTTCTGAAAGATCGTGGCTGGATTATCTATCTGGGTCTGGGGAAAATACAGCTCAGAGTTATCTCTGGTGCTCCCTCTGATGACTCAGGTCCTTCAAGCGAACCTACAACACAGTAAGGCTGCCACGGCTGTGTTCTGTCTGAGCACGGTTAAGCAGTCCTTAGATTATGCCTTGATTCAAGAACCCTGGATCAATAATTTTAGAATTGCGGGGATGGGAACTATAAAGGGTAGCATCTTCTCTGCATCTGTACCACACCCTAGAACTTGCATTTGGGTTAAAGAGGGGCTAAAATGTAATCCAGTTCTAGAGCTTTGTTCGAGGGACGTAACAGTAATTAAGACTGTATGTACTAAATCCAACATAAATCTGCTGCTGGCCTCTGTTTACATGCCACAGGGCGACGATGGACTGCTCCCATCGGCCGAGGTCAGAAGATTGGTCGACCTCGCACACGAGTCTGGATCTGAACTCGTGATAGGCTGCGACTCCAATGCCCATAATACGGCCTGGGGATGCAGGGACACTAACAACCGAGGTAGGTCACTTCTAGAATACATAGCTTCTTGCGGCCTACTTGTTGCAAATGTAGGCTCAGAACCAACTTTTTTAAGCAGGATAGGCCAATCAGTAATTGATCTTACCCTGTGTTCGGCGGGTATGGCTGACAGGATTATTGACTGGTCAGTGTCCCTTGAGCCATCCCTGTCTGATCATAGGCACATTGTCTTCGGGTTGGGGAATTTCTGCGGCGAGGTTCGCTTATTCAGGAGCCCAGTTAAAACCGACTGGGCATCCTTCAGAGCTGATCTTCGGGGCAGAATTGCCTCGAACCTGAACACATCTCCTATTAACACAGTTGATGCGCTTGACGAGGCGGCAGATCGTCTAACTAGGTGCATAGTTACATCCTTTGAGGATAATTGTCCTTTGAGCAAGGGAAAGAGCAACAGGGCTAGTTGGTGGGGTCCTGAACTTGCCTCTCTTAGGAAGAGAGTAAGGGCCCAATTTAGGCGAGCAAAGATAACCAATAATTGGGATACATACCATACAACTCTCACAGAATATAACCATGCAGTACGTAAGGCCAAAAGGCTCTCATGGAAAAATTTTTGTGGAAATTTAGAGAGTATCAAGGATACTTCTAGAATACATAAGGTACTTGTTAGAGACAGACATGTTACTTTGGGTGCCGTTGAGGGACCGGATGGTGTAATGGCTTTTGAACCTACCGAAATACTAAAGGTTATGGTAAAAACTCATTTCCCTGGTTGTATTGTTTCTGAAGTGCAGCAGGAGGAGGTGAGTCCAGAGCGGCCTAACCTGGGCCGTCGTGCCACTCATTCTATGTGGAGCACTGCTTGCCGCATAGTCACCTTCAGCAAGGTAAGATGGGCTGTTGGCTTATTACGACCCTTCAAATCGCCGGGTCCTGATGAGGTAAGACCTGTTTGTTTGCAGGAGGGTCTTGATACAATTATACACCCACTCTGTAAACTTTTCAGAGCCAGCTTAGCGTTAGGACACATTCCCTTAGGGTGGTGTAATTCGCGTATCGCATTTTTTCCTAAACCAGGAAGGGATAGTTACACTGACCCTAAGTCATTCAGACCCATTTCTCTATCTTCTTTCTTTCTTAAGATCCTAGAGAAGTTGGTCTCAAGATATATGATGGATACAGCTCTTAGGACACATCCTTTACATATTAATCAGCATGCGTATGTCTCAGGAAGATCATGCGAGACTGCGTTGCACCAACTTGTAAGCAAGATTGAGAAAGCTCTAGAGAGCAGTGAAGTGGCCCTGGGTGCCTTTCTCGATATTCAAGGTGCTTTTGACAATACTGGTACTCCAGCGATTCTTAATGCGGTGAGAGCAAGAGGTTTTCACGGTATAATATGTAGATGGATTGAATCCTTGCTTCTCAGTAGGAAGGTTAGGCTCTCACTCCACAATGATACGATCGAGGCAAGAACTACTCGAGGATGTCCTCAGGGGGGGGGTTCTTTCTCCTCTACTTTGGAATTTGGTAGCAGACGACCTTATAAGGACCCTCAATGAAAGTGGGGTTTTCGCCTTAGGTTATGCTGATGATGTTGCAATCCTTGTGGTTGGAAAGTTCCACGGAACCATAACTGACCTTATGAATAGAGCTTTAAGGGTAGTGGACCGTTGGTGCCAGGATGTTGGGCTCTCTATAAATCCCAGGAAAGTTGTAATGGTACCCTTCACAAGAAGGAGGAAACTGGACGGGATCGGCCCACTAAGACTGCAGGGTACTGTAATAGAGCTGCAGAATCAGGTGAAGTATCTTGGTGTAATTTTGGACAGATCACTTCACTGGGGACCACACCTTCAAAAAGTCATTGAGCGTGGCAAATGGTCCCTTATGGCATGCAGGCGGATGGTAAGTGGCACATGGGGGTTACAGCCTAAACTTATGCACTGGCTGTATGTATCTGTTGTTCGACCCGCCCTTACATATGGTTCGCTTGTGTGGTGGCCAAAGATGGAATCAACTATTGCTGTCAAAGCTTTAGCAGGAGTTCAGAGGCTTGCTCTTATTATGATAACTGGGGCAGTAAGTAGCTGTCCTGGAGCGGCACTTGACTGTCTGCTTGACATGCTACCTATTGACATTTACATTAAGGTGGTAGCAAGTAAAACAGCCCAACGCCTTAGATACGAAAACTTATGGATAGCCTCAGGGAACAATAAAGGGCACTCTAAAATTGTTCAGGTGGTACATAATGATGAATTGGACTTACCTTCAGATCACATGTCCAAAAAATACTCCTTTGGAAAGCCTTTCAAAGTACTAATACCAGATAGGAAGGATTGGTCTGGCGGAAAAGGACCCATACCCACAGGTGACTTAGAATGCTATACTGATGGTTCTAAGATCAAAAATGGGGGCACTGGAGCAGGTGTGCATTGGATGAATGGAGGCACTGGTATTTGTCTTCCAATGGGGGTGTACCCAACTGTCTTTCAAGCGGAGGTCACTGCCATTCTAGTTTGTGCTCAAGAACATCTTAACAAAGATATCAGAGACAAAACAATCAATATCTTTACTGATAGTCAAGCGACCTTAAAAGCATTAAACTCTTACGAATTCAACTCCAGGCTCGTGTGGGATTGTCTTGCTTCTGTGTCTGAGTTGGGTAGGAGAAATGACCTTACGCTTTGCTGGGTACCAGGACACTCAGGCATTGAAGGAAATGAAGCTGCAGACAGATTGGCAAATACTGCCTCTGCGACATCATTGTTAGGCCCGCAACCCTTCTGTGGCATCTCACGAAACAGTGTATGTTCTGCGATTGCGTCATGGGCCAAGGAAAAGCATCGCAAACGCTGGGTCGATGTTCCCCTTCTTAGGGTCAGCAAGCTTACTCTGTTTAGGCCTTCCAAAAAGGTTGCCTGTGACCTCTTGAGACTAGACAGACGAAGAATTAAATTAATTGTTGAACTGATAACTGGTCATGGAAGATTCAGGAAACATCTACAACGGATGGGCTTATATGATGGTGAACCGATCTGTAGGTACTGTGATAGGTCAGAAGAGACAGCTGATCACTTACTCTTTGATTGTATTGAGCTCTCTGACGCTAGATCGATAACTCTTGGAAATATGGCTAGAGGTAGATTTCTTCCTGAGGATGAACTAATTGGGAAGCTACAGGCATTCATTGGGCGCCTCAACTTGTAGGTCAACAAGAAAGCAATTAAGTATCTGGGGTGCGCAATAATTCGATTTCGGATGAAGTGCTTTAAGGTCTCGACCTGCCCCTGTCAGATAAGATAAGATAAGATGGACCCGGGACCGATTTTTTTTTCGTTTCGAGGTCCCTAGAGGTCAAAAACACCATCCGTTCAAATTCATATATATATATATATATATATATATATATATATGTGTGTGAGTCCGTTAGCGCGATAACTCGAGCAAAAATGATCCGATTTTGATGAAATTTGGTACAAACGTGTAAACCTACGTTTATTCGAACGAGTTCGCGAACCAGCATGATCGGACCATGGGAACGGGGGTTTATAGGGGCTTTTATGGGGTAAAAATGGGTTTTTCCCATTTTTGACCCAAAAAACATAAAATTTTGCAATTTCTTTCGAAACTATTTTGTAGAGCTTAAAAAAACAAATAATCAGTATATTGAAGCGTTGTAATGCGCCTAATGGTTACGGGGAAAATTCCAAAAAATTGTAGGCCTAAATTTAAAATTCCCATGTTATTCTTATGGAGAATAAGTAAACTGTTGTAGTTTGCTTGTTTATAAACATATTTTGCCCAAATTTGGAAAATGTTTTTATTTATTACTAACTATTAACATTTTACATAAAAAACACTTTTACCCTCCCTGTTGCAGCAAACCTAAGTATGTTTTAAACTGATTCTATTTAAATAGGGAATAAATGTGATATTTTTAAGGAGGCATTTTAGTGTAAATCCATTCAGGGAAATGGAAATTCGCTTAGTCTGCAGGTTTTCTGCGGCGGGGGTATTTGTTTTTGAGGTCCCTAGAGGCCAAAAACAACATTCGTTCAAATTCATATATGCATATATTTATATATGTCTCCGTTAGCACGATAACCCGAGCAAAAATGGTCTGATTTTGATGAAATTTGGTATAAACTTGTAAACGTACTTTTTTTTGAACGAGTTCACGAACCAGCATGATCAGACTGCGAGAACGGGTATTTATGTGAGGGCTAGGGGTAAAAATTTGGTTTTCCCATTTTTTACCCTAAAAACAAAAGAATTAGCAAACTCTTACCAAACCAAATTATAGAGCTTAATAAAAACAAATAATTTAGTATATTGAAGTGTTCCTATGCGCCTATTGGTTACGGAGAAAATTCCAAATTATAGTAAATTTAAAATTCCCATGTTATTTTTATAAAGTATAAGTAAACTGTTGTAGTTTGCTTGTTTATGAACATATTGTGATCAAATTTGGAAAATGCATTGATTTCATACTAAACTATTAACAATTTACAAAAAACAAGCAAGCCAAAGTACTCGTTAAACTAATGCTATTTAAATAGGGAATAAATGTGATATTTTTAGGAGACATTTTCATGTAAATCCTATCAAGCTTAAATGGAAATTCGCTTAGTCTGCAGGTTTGCTGCGGCGGGGGTATTAATGCTCGATCTTATTCCTTTCACAGTTTCGAATCGTTCGTTTCAAACCAACACGAAAGTGAAACATTTGTCACCTATAAGCATAATGCACAAAGACCTTTTATGGTTATAATCCACAATTTTGAATAACTATACCTCAAGTCACACAATAACGGGTAAAAAATGAATGAATGCATAAAAAGCGATCAATCAAATTGACACTTGCAATTGACAGTGAGCAGCACCAATTAAGCCTACTCGTACATTGGCCATGTGATCGACTGCACCAGACACACTTTTATTCCAAGACACGTCAGTCTTCAGTCTACAGCTCCGGTAAGTGTTTCGTGTTTGTCTTTGAAAGTTTGTGTTTTAATAATCCAGCCAATAAGTGTTGCCTTTCCATAAGAGAGTGATTGTTTAAGCGTCGTTGTGAGTGAGCGTAGTGTTCATTTGTGCAAGTGTTGCATCTTTCAACGAATCTCGCTACGAACATATCCTAGAAGCCAAAATACATTGAAACAAGAATATTCCTAAGTAGTCATCCGAATCTAAAAAACGTCTTTGATTGTCCCAATGAGAATTAAATAGAATTGCCTCAAGATATACCAATCCATAGTGGTTCTTAGAAATCTCGTTAAGAAGTTTCCTTAGGAATCTTACGACAAAGTACTGTACCAACAGAAATCTCAATACATCACCCTAGGATTCTTACTCTGAAATCAATTAATATTAGACAACTTTGCTGTGAACTAGGTGTGTCTTTTTTCCAGTAGAAACTGTGTTGAGTTCTGTGTGAATCTTAGAAGAAACTGGCTCATAATCTCTACAAATAAATCTTTAACTCCGTCAAGGCCTTCATGACTACCAGCAACGTGGCGGTCTTCGCCAACCCCTTGTTCAGCCCAAGCGACGACTCTCCAGACTTCGCCCTCAGACCTGTGTCCATCTATACCGACGTAAATCTGCTCATCGACCAAGACATGCCGCCGCCGCCGCCGCCGCGTGAGACCGACTACAACGTAAACACCGATAAATTTATGAACTTTGGGAAGATGTTTCTCCTCATTCTAGTATTTGGATGCATTGCGTATGTTGGGCTAAGGTATTTTAATTTATATTAATGAGTTATAAGTGATATGATGTTATAATGTACTGTAGTTACCTTTTCCCATATTGAAAGTATGCTTTGATGCTTAGTTAAATATACAAGACAATGTTAGAGATAAGAAGACAATAGATCGAAATCAATTTATCACTACCATTATGTTAAAGAGTTTGTCTTGAAAACGAACACACCCCACAATGAAATGATAGACAATGAATTGATAGATCTGTGACTAGTTTCAACTACAGCAACGATTCTACTGCTCTTAGCGTTACTGTAATGTCAACAT